GGTACCCGTCCACCGCTTTCAGCTGTCTACGCACCGACGACCTAAAATTAACCAATCGCCGGTCGCCTTGAATCAACGTGAAATTTGCCTTCGTAGTTAACACCAACTTACACACGTGATTCACCCATTGCAAAACAAGGTGGGATTCTCATCAGGACTCCTCAATGGACTACCATGGTCCTCCTGGAAACCCACCTGCCACACGTCTTCGCCCGCTTTCTGGCTTCGAACTATCACCTCGACCACATCCAGCTCCGCCAACTTCCCGCTTACCCGCTCGCCTCCCTTCAACTGAGCCACGTACAACTTAGCTCCTTCCTCCTGACGATAGTCAAAAAAGGAATTCGAAGCTACCATACACACTCACATTAGCGACACACACACTTTAGCACACGTTAGCACATTGGGAACATACACATTAATGATATCGATGACAGTGACTGGGGTGATTGATTGGGGTGATTGATTGGGGTGATTGATTGGGATGATTGATTGGGGTGATTGATTGGGGTGATTGATTGGGGTGATTGATTGGGGTGATTGATTGGGGTGATTGATTGGGGTGATTGATTGGGGTGACTGGATGTAATCGTCGCCTACGTAAGTTTGATCGTATCTGCTTGTGTGATAATAGCACCGCTTTAGTCCGTTCATCTTTCAAGGTTAGTTGTCTTGGTCCCGTGAACTTGACTGTGTAGACGTGAAGCTGTTGGAAAACACCTGGCTTCAGAATCATTTCAGTTGCATTGGTCAACAGTTCGACAATCCTGTTGTATCGTGCATGCTTCTCATGGGAATCAGGGAACGGAGGCGCGCCCCTTTTCGCTCGAGTCTCTTGGTGGTATCTGTTCATGGGTTTGTTACTGGCTGGGCGGACTGCCGACTGGATATTGTTGGAACGAAAAACAGGAATGAACCTGGTGTGAACCTGGTGGTGGGGGGTCGGACTAAACCCACACAACGATCCGGCCGTTGGAGTGCCCGGAGGCGAGCCAATGAGAGTTGGGTGCCCAAGCAAGGGCGGTAACATGTGAAGTATGGTCTACGAGTTTGACAAGTGGGTTTATTTTGATTTCAGTGAGACTGTCTTCCGCGGCGTGGAAGAGTTGAATGGATGACTCACTTGATCCGGCGGCGACTAGAGGGAGGTAAGGGTGATGTTTGACGGCGGTGAGTGACTCTGCGACCGATATTGTTTTGTAAGGCAGTTCGCTGTACTGGGTATCGAACCACTGAAACTTTCCATCGACCCCTGTACGAATAATGTGTTCGCCGCTGGGGTGTAATTCCATACCGGTAGCTTGGTCAGTTCCGCGGAACTTGTGCACAGTGTGTGCCATGGATTTGGATTCCTTGTCGTGTTCGGCGCTGGCAATGTGCACTTTGCTCTTGGGCTGCAAATCGAACACTTTGGTGGCCTTCGGGTAGCCGACCACGAGGTAGGGTTTGGTAGGGTGGAAGGCGACGCTCTCAACCTGGTGCATGCCCTGAGTCTTGCGGAAAGGCGCGAGCGATTTTTTCTTCTTCAGGTGGTGCAGCAGACACTGACTCGACTTCAGCTGGCTTGTAGCCGCCGCCGTGGCCACGTATGCGCCCTTGGGATGGATCGCAACGGCGCTTGCGCGGGCACCTAGTGCCACGACGAAGCCGGCGACGACGTACTTGTTCTTCTTTTGCAAACAGTCAACAAACCGACACGTTTCAACCCAGTCCTTGGCCTGCAACTCTTCGAAACCACTGTCTTCCACGTCCCCCTCTGTCTCTATACTGCCCTCGTCGTCGCCGAGACCAGGCTCTTCATAGTCCTCAAAAAATGTGTATGAACGAAACGCCTTCCACTGTCCCACTTTGCTCGGCCGACTACCCAGACTCATAAGGGAGACAGCGTCCTCGCTGCAACGCATCGCATCCACCGCCTCGCGATACTGCTGCAGGTGTGGGGACACATCGGCGGGGTCTATGGCTTCATGCTCCGGCACACCCCAGTACTGCTTCACGAACGCCCGCAATTCAGTGAAAGACGTCTGCGGCCGTCGAACCAACGTAATGTACAGGTAACTGCCGCGACTGAAGACCATCAGGGGCAGAACGGGGTGGAAGGCCAGACTCTCCACAGCGTAGGCATTCGTCTGGCTCTTGGTGTGCGCGTAAAACTCAGGCAGGTAGTGCGGATGGCTAGCTACGTTGTGGATGGCCAAGGAGCCGTCACGGTAACCGGCGCCCAGGACCCCAGAGTGCCTGCAGAAAGCGAGAGACACTACGCTGCTGCCGTGGTCCTTGACTACGATGCCCTGGGTTCGTGGGAAAGGTTTGAAGTTGTCCAAAGAGGGCAACTCGGGCAGCAGGTCGTCCGAGTTTTCGATCCAATTCAACCTCATGCTTCGCGGACACAGGTACAGGTCCAGACACCGCTTGAACTTCTCCTTCACCAATTCGGCATAGCCCGGCACTTGGCGAAGGGACTTGTGTGCAGTAGGTATAAAATCGTACTTCTTGTCGTCCGGATGCGCCTCCTCCCATTGCCTCTTCTCCTCCTCGTCGAACAAATACTCAGGCGACGGATTATATGACTCGGCATGCCCTGGCGGAGGCAGCTTAGGCGCAGGCAATATCGGCTTGAGCGGCCGGCCCTTCTTGTCGTAAGCCACCGTAATATTCTCACCCCAAACATCGAAGGGGTCCACGGACTTGTGTTTCTCCCGGCGCGAGTAGTAACGGCCCTCCCGAATCGCCTTGAGAATAGCCCTGATCTTCTTCTCCTCTCCCTCACCTGGTAGGAATTTACCCTTACGGCTAAAGTGTCGCTTCAATGGCTGTTGGTTCTCCGTCCATTCAAACTCCACCTGGAAATCTTCTTCGTTCAATTCAGTCAAACCCAAACGACCCTCTTTCAGACGCCTTATAATCTCCAATTCCGCGTCACTGATACGGTACTCTGTCTGGTTCTTCGCATCCACCACCGTCCGCCACGCATCCGGGTCATCTGCGTATCGTAGCAAGTTGTCGATTTCACTTTCTTTCAACTTCATCACCTGGTCGATTTTGTTCCCCGCTATATCGTAACCTACATGCTCCTCGTCCTCGTACAGACTCAAATCGATGTTACCCACGCGGTTCAATTCTCCATCCTCCTCATCCGACTGCAGAGCATCCTCGCCCGCGTGATGATCCACAACCAGCCGTTTATCGAGCTTCTTTTTTCGTACACTCGTAGAGCCGTCCTCCGCGGCTGTAGCGCCGTCCTCCGCGGCTGTAGCGTTTTGCCGTGTTTTGGCTCGTTTCACCCGAGTAACAACCATGACAACAACTTACCCGGTCTGCTCGCTAACTTGGGTTCCTAATGAAGGGAATATAAAATTGGCCGTGTAAAATTCTACCATGGCGCCTAGTCAGTCGCGAATTCTCCTAGAGGATCGCATGACTGTCAAGAGCATGGACTCGTCCAAGTTTGAAAAGGTCACCAGGATATCCGGTCGGTCAGCAGCCTTCGATGCTGAATTAACTATCGACATAAATACCAACGTATATCCACTCAAGGAAGGGCAGGTGCTCACCTTCGCCTTCGCAGACCAGGGCAAGGAAAGTTTGATGGAAGATTACGAATATGTGTGCCTCGGTCGAGTATTCCATGAAGACGACAAGAGCGCTGAAAAACGCGCGGTATACATCTCCTTCGGAGGCCTCCTCTGCCAACTCATTGCGGACAAAGCCATCGTCTCAGAATTCACCATGGACAAAAGACTTTTTTTCTTCCTCAGACGATCCACATAAACCCCATCCCCTAACACACACTCAAGCGAATTCGCCTCCGTGACAGACTTGACTTGGGAAACGCGAGACAGAGACGACTTGGGAGACAGAGACGTCATCGACAAAACAAAATCGTTCTTAACATAGTTATACATACATCAATTATCATGAGCGCAATAAGCAATAAGTTGTCTATCCGAGATGTGGAACTCAAGGGCAAGCGTGTACTGATGCGGGTTGACTTCAACGTACCTCTAGTCGATGGCAAGGTCACTGACGCCACCAGAATTAACGCTACTATACCCACCATTAAGTTGGCCATGGAGAAGGGCGCCAAGGCAGTGATTTTGATGTCCCACTGCGGTAGACCTGACGGACGTCGTCAGGAAAAGTACTCCCTTAAACCCGTCGTTCCAATCCTCGAGGAAAAGCTCGGCAAAACCGTCACTTTCCTCAAGGACTGCGTTGGTGGAGAGGTTGAGACTGCCTGCGCCAACCCTGCTGACGGCTCCATCATTCTCCTCGAGAACCTCCGCTTCCACATTGAGGAGGAGACCAAGGGCACCGATGAGGCCGGCAACAAAATCAAGGCCGACAAGGATGCCATCACCAAGTTCCAGGCCTCCCTCACCAAGTTGGGAGATGTATTCGTTAACGACGCCTTCGGCACTGCCCACCGCGCTCACTCTTCCATGGTCGGCGTTCAGTTGGAGACTCGCGCTGCCGGTCTGCTAATGGAGAAGGAGCTGAAGTACTTCGGTGGTGCCCTTGAGGAGCCCAAGAGACCCTTCCTTTCCATCCTTGGTGGTGCCAAGATCCGCGACAAGATCCAGCTCATCGAGAACATGCTTGATAAGGTCGATGAGATGATCATTGGCGGCGGCATGGCCTATACTTTCCTTAAGGAACTTGAGGGCATGAAGATTGGCACCTCCCTATATGACGAGGAAGGCGCTAAGATTGTGCCTAAGATCATGGAGAAGGCCAAGGCCAAGAATGTGAAGATTACCCTTCCCGTTGACTTCACCGTCTCCTCAGAATTCGGCGACAAGGGGACCATTAAGACCGTTACCAAAGCCGAAGGTATCCCTGATGATATGATGGGACTCGACTGTGGTCCTGCGTCCATTCAGGCTGCCAAGGAGGTTATTGGCCGCGCTAAGACTATTGTCTGGAATGGTCCTCAGGGTGTGTTCGAGATGCCCGCCTTCGCGAAGGGTTCGTTGGCGTTTGTTGACGCAGTTTGCGAAGCTACCAAGAACGGTGCCATCACCATTGTTGGCGGTGGCGATACAGCTTCTCTTGTTGAGAACGCTGGCAAGTCCAGCGGTGTGTCGCACGTTTCCACTGGTGGTGGTGCTTCCCTCGAACTGCTCGAGGGCAAGGAGCTCCCGGGTGTCACCAAGCTTTCTGACAGAGCTTAAATCAAATTTTTGTGTACAGACAAAGGAGGGGTGTTCAGATCATAAAGGAAATAGAACACGAATAGAGCCATAACTCGGAGGGAATCGGGTACGGGTGAAACGAAGAGAAACAAAATGCAGAAGGTTTCGAAACGCATCTGGGTATGTTGGCGATGTCGAGTGCATGAAGTGGTGGACAACCCAGAATGAAAAGAGGTGTTGTGGTTGTATACACATGCTGGTTGGACTGAATCGTCCTTCCCACCCCAACAATGTTCCGTCGGATATATATATTTAGCCCCCCCTTACAAATATGCACAAGATCCTATCTGATATATTAAAGAAGGAGTATGGTATTACCGCGTTGTATCCATACCAGCGAGATGTTCTATCGTACTTGAGTGATACGGAGAAGCCGGTAGCAACATCGATGAATGTGGGCGCGAGTGACTTGATAGTATATTGTCCGACCGGGTACGGCAAAACAATGGCTTATGTGATACCTATACTTAACTACCTGCTGACGACGTCTCGGAAGGACGGAGCAAGGACCGAGCAGCGAGGTAAGAAGTGCGAAAGACCTGACGGCCTGGCAGCTTTGATAATAGTGCCTACGAAGGAATTAGCCGGCCAGGTGTCGGAGGTGATTGAATCGTTTCTGGACAGAATCAACGCAGACCCCAATGACGGAAGCCCGAAGCTGCGTAAGTTGGAGCTGGTTACACTAGCGGCCCTCAAGTCGGTTTATGAGGAAAGGGTTGAGCTTCAGGAGAAACAGCCCGATGTAGTAGTTTCAGTTGCCTCTCGAATCTCGTCGCACTGCCTACAGACCACGAGTGAACAATGGGGGAACTCATACCTCTGGGAGTCGTTGCGGTACCTGGTGATCGATGAGGCTGACAGGTTGCTCTCCAACTCCTATGACGATTGGGTTACCGCCGTGAGGTATATCACCGAGAAGGCGGATCGGATACGGGGTACCAAGTCGGATGATTTTGTAAAGAAGGAGGATATTCTGCAGAGATACTGGAAACAATCTGGAAATGACACCACCGAACTTGAAGTTAACGAACCCAAAGTTCTCCGAGCAATTTATCCCATCACTTTGCAAAAGCTTTTGTATACTGCAACTGACGTTAAGTCGTTCAAAGGAATGGCTAGCTTACGGCTTTTGGACCCCTTGTGTATCAGGGCCCAACTGGACGTCGATCTACTTGACCAGTTTTTCGTCATTACCAAGAAACCAGCAGAACATTTGGTGGAAGCAGTTCTTCGGACGGCAGGAAACAAACGATTCAAAGCCATCATCTTCTGTCCGGCTATCACCAAAGTCCGACAAATATATAAACTGCTAGTCACCCAAGGTACTCAACTCGGACTCGAACCCACCCACGTCACCACCTTAACCGGCGACACATCCACCAGACGACGATTGGAAGTCATGGCGCGCTTTCGCAAGAACGAATCACGGATTTTGATATCCACAGATCTCACCGCCAGAGGCATCAACATCCTGGACATTAACCACGTGTACCACTGTGGATTGCCACACAGCCCGGACGTTTACATACATAGAATCGGCCGCACTGCTCGATGCGGTAACAGGGGAGAAAGCCATCTCTTTACCAATCAAGCGAACAAGATGACCGCATTCCAGGACGGAATTAGGAAAATTAGGCCTACCAGCAACATGGAGGTCATCCGGCTCGAACCCCCAAACGAAGACATAAAGGAAGAATGCGAACGCAGAAGTCTAGTACAGTAAAAATGTGTCTACTGCCACCATTTTTAGTGACACCAGATCCTGACAATTTTGTCCCTTCCTCCTGACGCAACTCTTGCGCAATCAGGGCTCCATTGGACAGCATATATTTCATCTGCAGCGCCGGGTAAATCTTCCTTGAGCTTTCTCTCGCTTGTATCCCAGACTTTTAGAGTGGAGTCTCGGCTGCAGGAGACAAAAAGTTTGGAGTCGGGTGCCCAGCTGACTTGGTAAACGGGGCCGACGTGGCCTCGATACGTGTGTAGGAATTTGCCTGTTCGTCCGTCCCAAAGTCGGATTGCGGAGTCGAACCCGGCAGAAATGACGTAACGGCCGTTGGGTGAGAAGCACGCGTGGCACACGGCCTTTTGATGGCCGGTCATCTGTTGGACCCTCTGGTCGTTTTTGAGCAAGACCCAGAGACTGAGCGTGTTGTCATCGCTGCAGGTGACGACTCTTTCCTCGCCCAGGTTTCGGAATTCCTTGTTCCACGCTTCTTCGGCAAGCTTGAAAGGCGTCTGGGCAGCGGAAGGGAGCTCTCCGTTGTGGTCGTAGGGTCCCCTTTTTATGATACCGTCGGTATTGCAACTCAGTGCGTTCACCCAGTGGCCATGGCATTTGACAACCCGTATGGGGAGACCGGTGAGGGCGGACCAAACGCGAACAGTCATATCCCTGCTGGCGGAGTAGACAAAGGGGCCTGTGCACGACTTGCCCTCGTCGTCGACGGCCTCGCTCGCGCCAGACCAGCGAGCACTAGTAACCATCTTTGCGTGTCCGTTGAGATGGCTGACGACGTTGCCCAGACACGTGTTCCAAATCTTGACGGTGCCGTCTCGCGCACCCGAGAGAAGCAACGGCGCGCCGTTCTGCCACTGCTTGTGCAGGTGCATGGGCATGAAGTCCAATGCAGTGACGGTGTCTGTGTGGAGTCTGAGGACTTTGGGTTCCGGCTGAGAGCTGGTGAAGCATTTGTCGGCCTGCCACACCCGGACACTCTTGTCTTCGCTACCGGAAGCGAGCCACTTGCAGTCTGGAGACCAAGCCAAGGAGACGACCGGACGTGTGTGGCCCTTGAGCACACATATAGGGGTCACCGTGGAAAGGTCCCACAATCGCACTTGGCAATCACCACTCCCGGTAGCCATCGATTTGCCGTCCGGGGAGAACGCCAAACACAAGATAGTTCCAGTGTGCCCGCGCAGAGACCCTGAGAGCCGTGCAACCGGACGAACCTTGAAGGGGGTAAGGCTGTAGTACGAAATCATCAGCGTGTCCTCCGTACTCACACTCATTCCCCGCTCCACCGCCCCATGCAGCGCAGCGCGAATTGTCGTCGTGATCTCCACGCCCAACCCGCTCACGACCAGTGAGTAGTCATCCAGCTGCTCCTCCTCCGTCAAGTACGACTTGAGCACACTCTTCAACTGCTCCAATTGACAATCCAACGGCACCTCCAACTGGTCGCCCACTTCGCTACTCACGGCGTCATTGAACTTGATAATTATCTTGTCGCCGAAACCATCATCCACCGGCTCAGTCTCGGCCTTGCCCGCCTCTGTCCTCCGCTTCTTCCGGTGGAGCACCATTAAAAACTGGCCGCGGAGAAGTTAGTCGCAACCCCGAGCCGGCTTGCGAGATTCGAACCCCGGCTCGGCCCCATAGAGTCAGAACCGTACCTGGGATACTCCAAACCCGCGGGGGCTCCATTGGAGCCGTTGGACTGCGCGGGGCGCATGAACGCGCTCTCGCACACACGTGTGCTCCGCGCGTGCTGAGGCTTGCTGGGGGGGGAACGGGCCCGGTACGGTACGCAAATGTGGTTGGCAAACATTGTTGGCGACCTTGGTTGCCATTTATTGCTTGGAAATGAGGGTCGGGCCCCGAGTTCGGACTGAGAGGAGACAGAACGTCACGGCGCTGGTTAAATTTCTAATGTTAAACAAATCAGTTGTAAGAAGTTATCTTAATATGTCTCGCGTGTTCATGGACATCGGCATCAACGGCAAGGCCGCTGGTCGCATTGTTTTCAAGCTCTACGAAGACACGCCCAAGACTTCGGATAACTTCCGTCACTTGTGCATTGGCGACAAGACTGGCAAGTCGGGCCAGAAGCTGACCTACAAGGGCTGCCCCTTCCACAGAATCATCCCCGGCTTCATGGCTCAGGGTGGTGACTTCACCCAGCGTAACGGCACCGGCGGTGAGAGCATCTACGGCAACCGCTTCGAGGACGAGAACTTCAACCACAAGCACACCAAGCCCTACCTGCTCTCCATGGCCAACGCCGGCCCCGGTACCAATGGCTCTCAGTTCTTCATCACCTTCGCCGCTACCCCTTGGCTCGATGGTGCCCATGTCGTGTTCGGCGAAGTTGAGTCAGGACAGGATATTGTGAAGGCTATGGAGTCCAAGGGCCAGGATAGCGGCCGCGTGACTGGCGAAGTCATCGTCACCGACTGCGGCGTCCTCTAAATGCCACAACTTTTAACCTAGACGTCATATACAGAACAGATTATTAAGCCATCCAATTTAAAACCATGACTCTTTCCCCCGACTATGCGACCCAGACTCTTTTCCCCCGACTATGCGACCCAGACATATGCGACCAAACGCCTACCCAAAAGCAACCTCCCAGTGCCCCAGCTGCCGTCCGAGTTGCGAGAAAATTTCGAGTCGTGTTTGGAGTTAGAACATGACGGCGCGTGCATAAAAGTCGAGGTCTATAGGTTCTTCACCGTCCGTCGGGGGGCCCGAGGCGTTGTCACAGAAGGGGAGTTTGGTGGAGTCTTTTACGCAGCGGTTGAGAAGCGTAGTGACGGCGGCGTTCTCCATGGCAGCCGCGACGCGTTCCTTATCGGCCAATTGCTTGTTTATGCTTTTCTCCGAATTGTGCGACCCTTGCTTTATTGCTACTGCGGTGGCAATATCGCGTGGCAATACACGACTCAACTCACTCCGTAGACTTAAACCTATCACGGTCGCCTGGTTGCAGTGAGGCACCGTGGGTGTGAAGGTTACTGTGCAGAATCGGCGTGGCTCGTCGTATTCGACACAGTCTCGATCCACCACCGACAACTGCTCCAAAGTCAATGGATACTCAGGGTCCTGAATGTCCTTCACATGCCTGAAAATCTCCTCTTTTGTCACCGGCTCCACCAGGTCCCCGCGTAACCAGTCCTGGTACATATATATAAATTCGCCCCGTGCCCGCTCTTCCACCTCCCTGCTGACGGATTCACTCACATGCCACTGACTCACTCATATGCCACTGATTCACTCACAAAACACTGACTCACTCACAAATCACTGACTCACTCACAAATCACTGACTTCACTGACTCACTCACAAATCACTGACTCACTCACAAATCACTGACTCACCCACGAGTCGAAAACGCTACTGACCGGCCACCGTGACCGTGAATGGTAACCCATACATGATACCATATAATTGCTGATATGTTTCGATCCAAAAACTGAGTCAGCTAACTGGGGTCCAGTTGGCAGGGCCCGCGAGTTAGATGCCCAAAGCTTTGAGCTCGTGGGAGAGATCCTTGGGCTTCTCCCAAGTGAACTGGGGGCGACCGAAGTGTCCGTAAGCAGCGGTTTCGCTGAAGACAGGTTTCTTGAGGTCGAGTGCCTCTTGGATGCACCCGGGTCTGAAGTCGAAGTTTCTCTCCAAGATGGCTTCAAGGTCGCTGTCCTTGAGGCCGTGTTTCACGCTGTTTTGGGAGTTGACGCACATGGAAAGAGGTTTGGCCACACCAATTGCGTAGGAGACCTGCACAGTGCACCTATCACAAAGGTCGGCAGCCACCAAAGACTTGGCAGCCCACCTCGCCATGTAGGCGGCGGACCGGTCCACCTTGGTAGTGTCCTTGCCCGAGAAGGCGCCACCGCCATGACTGCCCCAACCGCCGTAGGTATCTACAATGATCTTACGGCCCGTAAGGCCGGCGTCCCCGTGGGGTCCGCCAACAACAAATGAACCGGAGGGGTTGAGGTAGTAGAGGACCTTGTCGTCGATGAACTGCTTGGGGACGACAGGCTCGATGACCTCGCGCTTCAAGTCCGCCGCAATCTGCTCTTGACTGATGCCAGGATTATGCTGGGTGGAGATAAGAATTGTGTGCACACGAACGGGCTTGATATGGCCCTGTTCGTCTTCCTGGTACTGCACGGTGACTTGAGTCTTGCCGTCTGGACGGACCCACGGGAGGGTGCCGTTCTTTCGCACCTCACTGAGGCGGAAGGCAAGACGATTCGCAAGGTGGTGAGTGAGGGGCATCAGGTCCTCCGTCTCGTTGCAGGCGAAACCAAAGACGTGGCCCTGGTCGCCAGCTCCAATGTCTTCCACCTTCTTGTTAATATGCACGCCGCTCGCGATTTCGGGACTCTGTTCCTCAATGGCAATACGCACGTCCATCGTCTTGTAATCCAAACCCTTGCTCGGGTCGTCGTAACCGATCCGCTTCACCGCGTCACGAACCACCTGCTCGTAATCCACCGTACCACCGACCGTGATTTCACCGAAAATCATCACAAAGCCGGTCTTAGCACAAGTCTCACATGCCACTTTGGCATTGGGGTCCACTTTCAAACATGCGTCCAGAACTGCGTCAGATACCTGGTCGCACAACTTGTCCGGGTGACCTTCGTTCACAGACTCAGAAGTAAACAAGAAAGAACGAGGGGCCATTATGGTTTCTCCAAAAAAAAACCTAGGGCAGAGGCTAGCGAGCGATTTGCCGACAATAAGGTTTTTTGCCGATTTTCGAACAGAGACCGACATTGGGGCGAGACACGACACAACCAAAACACTCTCATTTTAACAAACGCAGAACCTACTCGACCCCTGCACCGACCCGGACCGGACCCCGGACAGGATTCGCTTCCTCCGGGATGCCCGTCGGCCGAGATGCCCAAAATGTTGAATATCCCGCCTCTATGAGCCCGTTCGGCGCCTTGCCTACAGCCGCCAGCTCACAGCCCTTAGTCGCGTACGAGACGCAAGAGACGCTCTCTGAGAGAGTGGATGAAACGGGCGACTGGTTTGTAACAACACGAAATGACCCTTTATAGCACGTTGTATGCTACCCCGTTACTGAGGGCAAGCTTTCGTCCCCACTTCTTTGGACAATTTGTTCTCGCCACGCATGCGTGACACACACGAGAGTTGCCCAGTCCCTACACCAATACCCGCGGCTGGTGGGTACTGCTGGAAACCCTGCCGGGAAATTCCTAGTCTTGAAAACCACTCAAAGTAGGCTCAAATAAGTAGACCCCACCAACCGCCCGTGTTGTTAAAATAAGTGCAGGTGGCTTGTTTCGTGATGGTTGTGTGTCTAGTGGTGTCAGGGGCTCGTGGTAGTCGGCGAGTTTAGGGGAGAGTTTGGTTAGAAAAAATAAAGTGAGAATGGAGCCTCCCCCTAGTGGCGATCCCCGGCAGCATCCATTGCCTGCTCCGCCGCCGCCGAGTAAAGCGGATGACGCGATGCCGGAGTTGGTTGAGTTGTTGGGGAACTTTGACTGGGCGGTGGACACGGTGGAGAAGTGTGCTCGCCTGATAAATAGCGAGAGCGCGTCGAGTCAGGATAAGTTGCGTGCGGTTCAAGACCTGAAGCAGCTGTTGTGTACCAGTCGAGATCACGTGTTTCCCATTGCGCAAGATGTCATAGACAGCGGGGCCCTGGTCGGGTTGACTAAGTTCGTTAGTTCCGAGAACCCAGTAGACGAGTTGCGGTTGCCGGCGGCATTCTGTTTGACGAACATCGCGGCGGGAAGTGACGAGCAGACGGCGGCAGTTGTCTGCGCCGGGGCTGTTCCGGCCATGTTGCAGCTGCTTTCCGTGGGCCACGAGGGGTTAGTACGGCAGGCCATCTTTTGTCTGGCTAATATAGCGGGTTCCAAGCCCGAGTACCGAGTTATGCTAGCGGACGAGCCGAGTTACTTTCGGGCATTGCGCTATGCCATTTTGGCTTCTCATGACAGCCGGATTGAAGAATTAGCCGGCTGGAACCTCCGGAACATTGTTGTCCTGGGGGGAGTACCGTTTGAAAAGTGCCTGCCGGCGCTCAACATCTTTATCGAGAAATTGCGCTACAGCGTTCCCGCCCGCCGCACGTGTGTGCGCCTCATGATGAATGGCAGCGCAACGCTCGCCAGCATCCATCACAACACCGCAAATTGGTTTAGATACGGTCCGCTGGAGCAGGACGGCGTTTCCGGGCTCCTGGGCCCAGTAACAAACCGCTCGGTGCTCAGGTTCAGCGCCGAAGCATTTAGTCATATTTCCCGACTACCGCAAGGGCAAGATTATTTGATAAAGAAGGAGCTGGTGCTCTTATCCATTCACTACCTCGCCAAGTTCTCCCCGAACCCGAGTGTGCGCAACTACGCTCTGGAGTGCCTGGTCAACCTAGCCAACCACCCCGCCTGCATGGTCAGTTCCTGGAACGGCGGGGGCGAGATCCGGTTCATCGAGTATGCGCCCTACGGGCTCGGAGAGATGCTCGCGGACCCGATCAGCTACTCGCCACATCAACGCGCATTAGCGGCCCGGGTGCTCTGGCGGTTGGCGGAGGGGCTGAATGAGAGCCAGGTCATGGCGCTGGTAAACAGTACCGTGATCACACGGACGGCGATGCTGGCGACCAAGCGGAACCTGGTTCATGGTGCTCTGAGTTTCGTCGCGGCGGAACAAAACGAGCCCGAGGATTTAGACCTCGACTTGGAGGCGGTGGACCTGGCGACCAACGGCAGTGCCACTCAGTCAGTGCTTGAAATTGCCTTGAAAATATACCAGGAATACGAACACCCCGAGGAACTGGCACTACGCGAAAAATGTGCTCGCATAGTCCTAGCTGTCCTCGGCAAAGTATCCTACAACACCCTCCTCCAGTTCATTGACCAAAAGTTCGTCTCTCTGGTGGTTCAACTCGCCGAATTCGCCTTCGCCGTCGACCGATATAGCAAATACAAAAGCTTCACCGATCTCAACACCGAAGAACACCCTGGAAATGAAAACGCACCCGCAGAAGCCGCCAACAACACTGGCATGAGCGCCGAGGCCGAGGTCGAGACTGCCACTGTGGGGACGGCTGGCAGCAGTGTGCCCGCCTTCCGCTTCGGCAACATCCACAACGCTCTCCTCGTCGGAGAACCCACCCCCATGCTGCCCCAAGTGTTCCTTCTCCTTGAGAAACTCTTTGCCATCGGCGAAGACCTCCGAGTCAAAGGCAAGGGCCTGGAGAACGCCGTCACCTCCATCCTCACGCTTACAGATAACATCGCGGCACTTAACGACGTGCTCGTCAAGACCAGTGGACTGCGGAAAGCCAACGAGCTTAAGAGGTTTATCAACTGACAAGTCCGGCGCCAGTCTTGACCCGCACTCATTTAACGAGGTACCCAACAAACAAGACGTCGTCGACTCGACCAACGCACAAGGTGGCCCACAAGGCGTCTCGATGAGGGTAGCGGGACACACTCTAGTGGTGGTGGGGTAGAAGCAAGACAAAAAATCAAACTTGAGTGGGCCGCCATCGGGTGTCGACTTCGGTTCTGTGCATAGGTGCCTGAGTGCGGTCAGTCGCTTTTCTGCCCGTGAATAGGTCCGCTATTCGCTGTACAATTTGCGACCTCGGCGAGGGGGAGAGAGCCCTTCTTCTCGGCGACCATTTGGCAGAAGGCGATCCGGCTCTGGACTGCGGAGAGAGCTCGCGATTGGGCGAGCCATCACGACTGGGCGGGCCATCGCGACCAGGGGACCCCTCGCGAGCGGGAGATCCGTCACGAGTGGCCGATCCGTCCCGAGTGGCCGATCCTTCGCGGCTCGTCGCTTGCGGGGCAAGTCTGGGACTCCTCGTTGCAGCCATTGGAATTTCCGATCTCTTCGGCGACGTCTCAGCCTTGACCTTTGCCGACACCAACCTTTCCCCCTGTCCGCGGTCGCCTTCATGCGCAACCCGAATGTCCGATGGAGAGAAAGACAACGAATCCGAATAGACCGGAGTCGGCACAGCCGCAGCAGTCAGCCAACTACGTTTCTCCATCATGTGCAGAAACTGCTGTTGCGGTCCCAAGACCGACCCTGGACGACAAATACGATTCCATGCTATCCACTCGTACGCCCTGAAACTGCAAACCAATCTTTCGCGCCCTCACTCATGTGTGTGCACACGCGTGTGCACACACATGGGACCACCAGCTGGGGCACATCGAGACAGACACGCTGGGGACATATTGGGAGCACATCGTGGGTGGTCGGCCGTACTGGTAATGGCGCATCGCATAGCATCCAATAAGAGTCCCTGTTCGACCAAGCCCTGCTTTACAATGAACCGCGATTACTCCCTTTTCCGCTTCACATATACTCAAGAACCTCTTAACTATATCGCTACAAAACAATCAATTACATGGGGCTCCTCGTAGGCAATCCCGCGGCTCAAAGGGAAGGCTTGCACGTACTCAGATGGACAGCTTCCGTCGAGGAAATATAAATCAACGTGCTTTATCCCATGCTTGGTAAACCCTTTAGCGTTGTACTGCTTCTTGTTAAGCCGTATCACTAGAGACACATCCCATTTCTTGAAGATAGGCACATACTTCTCCGGCGGGTGGTTATAGCTCTCTTCGACCTCCGGTTCGTCTGGGCTCGCAGGACCACTGAAAGCTATGAACTTCTTGGGAATAATCCAATTCAAATCACCATTGCAAACCTGTTCATACTTCTCATACTGGGCCAGATCGAACGTGCTGAAGTTATACCAGCCGAGCTAAGACAAGGACATGATGATGTGCAAGTACCCAATTGTTCATGGACGTGCATACACGCGATCGCCTGTCACATACGTGTGCGGCCACACGTCTCTGAACGTCGTCCACATCCGTGTGTTCAAGCGGCCACATCCGTAGCGGCTTACGTCTTTGGCTTTTTTGAATCCTGCGAAACAACCGTACAAGGAGAGTTCGTAGGTACAAGGCCCATAAGAAGCGTCTCTGAACGGCGTGAATTTGATCTTTTTGAATTTAAGAAACGGGTCGATCGCTTCTGCAACCGAAAAGTTGAGTTGGTCCATCAAGTAGCATCCCAGAAGGAATGCGGCGTTTTCGACCTTCCCTTTTATGTTGGCGTTGGAGTAGAACACAAGCTCGCAGCCGTGCGAGTCATTCCATATATTTCGCAGCTCGTCCGTGAACCTCCAAACGTACCCTAAATGCAGAGGACCAAAGTCGCGATAAAACGGCTCGTAGACAAATCTATCAGGAAGAAACACTCAAAAGGGGGTCCACTCAACGGGTACCGGTCATGGTGGTAGAGGGACCAGTCCGAGTGGCAAAGGGACCACCAATCTGGGTGGCAAAGGGAAGTGTCTGATTCGGGGACCAGTCTGGGTCGGGGGACCAGTCTGGGTCGGGGAACCAGTCTGGGTCGGGGAACCAGTCTGGGTCGGGGAACCAGTCTGGGTCGGGGAACCAGTCTGGGTTGGGGAACCAGTCTGGGTCGGGGGACCAGTCTGGGTCGGTGTGTGTGTACGCGTCGTCTATGGAGAGCGACCCGAAGACGCATTTGTTGAGTTTCGGATGTTTCTGAAGGGTTGTTGCGAAGTAGAGTCGTTTCGGAATGACGCAGACTACTTCTGCAAACTCCTTGTTGATATGATCTGGTATGTGGTAGGATCGAGTCTGGTGATCAGGGGGTGCAACTGGGCATAGTGCCTCCGTCATTAATATTTATGTCAGACTCATCAAGTGCTGCTGGAGGCAGTTGGTTCTCTGATGATGAGCCACCCGTGAACAAGCAGGGTGATATCATCCCACTGCTGGTCCAGGGCAGCAAAGTGGTGGCCCACAAGAAGCTCATACATGAGGGAAGACAAGACGTCATCATCGACTCCAAAGACTCAATCACTAGTACAACCCTTCACACTATAACCCTCCACCCGAACTACTACAGGCCCCTTCACCCGAATGACTACAGCTCCCTTCACCCAAACGACCACAGCTCCCTTCACCCGTGAGTGTTCGTGGCCTTGGGCTCTGGGTGCGGACGGTTCCACATGACTGGTCCAGTTTCTTATGTCGTGCTTGACGCTGCCTCTGCTCCCTATGACTGCGAGAAGTTGGACCGGATCCTTGGGGAAAGCGGAACTACCGTGAAAACCACCTTGGATGAATTGTACAGGGAAACACCTGTTCTCGGGGCTGCGGTGAAGTCGTTAGCCATGGAGGAGGCCTCGGAGATTTACAGTTCTGTTGAAGGCTCAGACATGTCCCGAAAAGACGAGGCACTGCTGACTCGGCTGAGAAGGCGTTTCCTTTCAGACCAGGCAGAAAAGGGGGCTGGAATGGTCGAGACCCGGTGGAAGACCAGCGCGAATACACCGAAGTATTTCGTCCGATTATTAGCTCATGAAAAAAGAACGTGTATGTAGCCATTACACCTCTTACTCCTATCCCCACGACCTGTATCATGTCCTGTATCGTATCATGTCCTAAATGGTGATCTTTATAGATATCGGCAAGAGTGGAATGTACAAGGTGGAGTTGGGATCCTGCCAATCGTGGGAAGTGCCGTTTGGGAAGAGCGTCTTGACATTTGAACAATGGGATCTACCGAATGAGTCCTTATCGGCTGATGAGCTGTTGCGATTCATCGTCGAAAACAGTCCGATCAAGCTCGAGGTGAACATTAACCAAGTGGTGGATCCTGATTGGCAGCAATTTTACAGAGCATTGCGATTAGGCGAAGTTGATAAGCTTGTACAGGACGCCGAAGACGACCAGAAGGAAGAAGCGGCCGAGGGTTACGCCATATTGAGTAATTGTATTATTAAGCTGGTGAGCTTAACAGACAACTCATATTTCAGCTGCCCTTGCGCTACGTCCACCCCTCCTTCAACGGTTGCGTCAGCTTCAGCAACGTCAGCTTCAGCAACGTCAGCTTCAGCAACGTCAGCTTCAGCAACGTCAGCTTCAGCAACGTCAGCTTCCGAATTGGTGGAGGTGGAGGAAGAGGCAGCGGGACTGTCTTCTTTCAGTCCGGGCTTTGTGCTCAGGACGATCCGACACGATGAACAACGACAGCTGCACCAGGCGCTGAGGACCAGAGGACTGCAACCGCCAGAGGCCGGCTCCTTTGTGGTCCTAAAGCTGACTGGCGCGGAACAAGTGGCCCGGCATGTGGGGTTCTGTCTGTACCGCACGTTCGCAGTACCGCTTTGGTTCCACGAAATTGTAGCCAAGCTGAAGCCAGGCACGAACTACCGCCTGAAATTGGTGGGTCTTTCCACCGCCATCGGGAACGCGCCCCTCGCGGAGACTCAGCCCCCCGCGGAGATTCAGTACTACCCCTTGGCACAGGACTTCCGCCGTGTGCCTTTTACCCTGCGGCAGGACGGAGTTTGCACTATCGAGTTGCCCGACGACGTAGCCAAGTTCGACGCAACGGGTCGTCTCGACCATTGCAAGTGGCTGCCCAGCCTGAGTGGCACCGATCAGGGTGACGAGGAGTTTGACTTGTCATTTGTGGGCGAGTTGGCGAAGGAGGTGAATCCGTGGGAGCAGTCGATTTTGGAGGCGTTAAGTAACGCACGGGGTCTGCTGAAGCTTTGCTGGCGTCTCGGTGGTGCGGACATGCCGCCGTTTGCACTTGATGCCCCAGCTTGCCTCGGCCCAGCACATTCGGCCCAGCAGGGGCCGTTTATGGCCAAGGTTGCAGCGCAGGCCTTTGACTATACGAGGCATGTGCTCGCCAGAAAGTTGGAGGGAGACGATCTAGAACGCCTCGAGGACCGCTACGGAGCGCCGGAACCCATCTCAACAGACGTACCACCCACGGTCACAGCCTGCTACCCGTTGCTGTACCGGGAGTACTACAACTGGTCTGTTTTCTTACTTATTACGTCCTGGGTCGCCACTAGCGGATACGCCAAGGCAGCCAACATCCAGGCCCTGGTTACTGAGATGGACAATGGTATGCACAAGCATGGCATGCACAGAGAGGACCCCGGGGTGGACAAGGGGGAAGATTTCGCCGTCTACCTGCGCTGTCAAATATATCTAGCGCACTGCTACTTCCACCAGTCAGAGTACGAAAAGTGTATAGCAGTCTGCAGAATGATTAAAATAACATACGCCAAATATCTACATGGAGCGACCACACAAGGAGTTGAGCAGCTCTTCCAGCAAGCATCGAAGAAACACACCCAATCCAACAGCCAAATGAAAGCAATGTGCAGAAACATGTTCGCGTAAATAAAAATAAGCACACGCGTGTGCGGCCGTACGTGACGCCTCGCCGCAAGCTGGCCGCCTGTTATCTTTCGCTGCTCAAATCTGGGCCTCAAATTTGGGCAGTCCAGCTATATTCCCTGCAGGCGATACACCCCTCGAAACCAAACAGTTTATAACATTGCTATACAAACGACCTTAAATGCTTATTTCGACCTAGTAAGAGGGCTGATTGTATGCCTTCAGTCTCACTCTCTGCTGATGGGAGGGCTGATTGCATTCCTTCAGTCTCACTCTCGGCACTGCGGCCAGTGCATAGTCATACACTCCAGCGGGGTCTGGAACCAGAAGCAATGGTCTTTCACGATTTCACGGCACTGCTCTGCGCACCACTCCGATTGGGAGGGATCCGGGAGCACAGACTGGTTGTCACGGTACCAGTTCTCACAGTTCTTGAAGTCATCTTCACTGCGTTGGGCGACCGCAATGGTAGCAAGAAGTATAAAATAAGTTCTCATGCTATAGTTCCTTAATACTATGAACAGCGGATAGTGAAAGGAGGGGAGACAGAGTGGACCCTGTTGGTGGATTGTTGGCGCAGATTGGGAGGGGTCATGCCTCCTAGCAAACCATCCCAAGGGACCCAGCAGTTTATGATCTCGTCTTCACACTATACAAAAATG